AATTTTGCCGCATGTTCAATACGAATTTTTTTGCGTATTATTAAACGCGTGAAAAATGATACACGAGATATATGAATCAATTTTTTTTCCTCTTGTTTATTTTTTCTAGTATTGTTTGCCGCGCCTCGAATATGAAAACAATTTTTCACTACAGTATGAACATCGATCTTTTTTCTATCGTTTATTTTTTCTAGATTCTTCTTTCAAAAATATAAATTTTTTTTTACGCGGAAAATTTGAAAAAAATTCTCTCGACGTAAGAAGAATAATAATTCGTGTCCTTTCGTGAAATTAATACATATTTTTAATATTCCATGTAACTCATAACGCATAACCTCCATCTATGTTCACTGGTTATCGATTCTGAGTACCAATTTTCTGCTCGTCGTTAATCACCATTACGAAAGTCGTAACGTGAATTTATATATATATATATATATATAAAATTCGGATCGAGTTTTAATAATATATATGGTCATATTAAAGCATGCATGAAATTACTGAAAAGTAGCCGAACGAAGCAGGCAATATCGTTAACGACCGTTCCCCCCTTCCCCTCCCTCTTTCGAATCGTAAATTTTTCAGAATAACCGATATACGTTGTAACTCGCGTTTAACAACGAAATCCCGTGCCAGTCCTTCATTTCAACGTGCGCTTAATTGCATTTACACCGAGGCTGCTAATTACGGATCGTACATATTAAAAGTGAACGTAATTACCGGTGTTGGATAATGACCACCACACTCGCGTTATTACACGGTATAACAAAGGCAATCGAAGCTTGCGGTCTCGCGTTAAAGAACCATTGCCTCGCTGACGAACGCTAAATCTGAATATCGTAACCGCCGCTTTATTGCATAACTGTTCAAGTACAATTTGTAATTGACAATACGGATTGGAATAACGGCTATCCCGTATCCAATCTAAGCAAAAGAAGATTATATTGCTGCTTAACAAGTGACCCGATTTATCAATATCCAATATCCAATACGTCGAGCATAATCAGTTAAAACCGGGTCAAAATCTCGAACATACATACGACTGAAAGGATATCAACAGGCTGACCATTCGTCTTTTGACAAATCATAGCGTAGCGTGTATGTGTAATATATACGAGCACGAAACTTGTATTATATATCTCGTTTAATTCAATTTGACAAATATCCATGATAAATCCATGCGAACACAACGTGTATAAAGCGAATCGATCAATAAACTCGAATTACGAATTGGTTAAAAATATACGTATGTATTTTATTATTTTGTCATTCGCGATAAATTCGAGATGTTGCAGGAGAGAACATGATAATGTATCGTATCTCTCTTTCTCTCTCTCTCTCTATATATATATATATATATCGAATTGCAAATTGTATAAATATACGAGATATTTATGGATACGAGAATAGTTCTTAATAGGACTTATGAAATGTATTTAATGTTTCTCGGAAATATAAAAAGAACAAGTTTCATTTTACCAACGTATATATTTTACGAAGCATTAAAATTCTCAAGATGTTATGTAATAATTACGTGTCAACCAACATTGAAATAAATCCAGAAGACGCGATAAAATATCGACATATCCGACTTTGACTAACAAAACTAGACGGAAACATAAGAACAACTGGGAAGGAGAAATTAGTCGGAGAAGAATCGTCAGAGAGAGAAAGAGAAAGAAAAAGAAGAGATAGATAGAGAGATAGAGATAGAGATAGAGAGAGAGAGAGAGAGAGAGAGAGAGGGAGGGAGGGAGG